ACTTACACCAGTCACACCAGTGGTGTCCCCAGTCCGATCCACCGATCCCAGCGCCCACTTATATCAGTGCTGTCCCCACTCCGAACGGGACTCCGCTGCTGTCCCCACACTGCTCCCAGACACTTCACAGCTGCCCTCACGCCGATCCCAGTCACACCAGTACCATGGCACTGCTGCTCCCAGTCATACCAATGCTGCCCCCATACTGCTCCCAGTTGCACCAGTATTACCCCCACACTGCTCCCAGTGACATATGTGCTGTGCCCACAGTGCTCCCAGTCACGCCAGTACTTGTCCTGTACTGCTCCCAGTCACACCAGTGCTGTCCCCAGTGATCCCAGTATCACTCCCACACTCCCAGTCACTCCTGCCCTGCCCATAGCAGTCCCGCAGACCCCAGGGCCCTCACACAGCTCCCAGTCACACCAGTGCTGCCTGTGACAGTCCCATCACCCACAAGGGAATGCCCCAGTCACTCCAGTACCTCCACACTGCTCCCAGTGACCTCAGTACCCACCCCAGCAAGGCGATGGTCTCCATGCTGCCAGCGGGCACCCCAGAATTCCAGTGACACCAGTACACCCTCACTGCTCCCAGCACCCCAGTATTCAAGTGAGGGTCCCCATGATGCCTGTGGCTGCCCAAGCCCCACTGATCCCAGTACATGCTCACACTTCTCCCAGTCACCCCATACCCCAGTATGCACCAGGTGGAGAGTGTCAGTCTGCAGGAGTGGGGGTACAGGGATTGTGGGCTCTGGGACCAGTCAGCTGGGAGTCACTGGGATGCTGGGATGACTGCAGATGTCACAGGGACACTCTGCTTGGATGGGCACTGGGGTTAGTAGGAGTCGTGTAGGGGTACTGGGGTGACTGGGGACAGTGTGGGGAAAGGACTGGGCTCACCAGAACTCTGGAGTGGCTACTGGAGTCATGGGACACCCCGTCTTGGGTGAATACTGGTGTCACTGGGAGTAGTGTGGGCTTACTTGGGCAACTGGGAGCTCCTGTTGAGTAGGTATTGTTGTGACTGGGATCAGTATGACCAGTGCTGAAGGGCACTGAGACCCTCTAGAGAGGAGTATTAGGGTCACTGGGACTCTGTGATGACCACAGGCATCATGGGGATCCCCAACTGTCTGAATACTGGAGACACTGGGAGCAGCCTGGGGGTCGTGGGGGACCCCCCCTTGTGTATTTAATGGAGTCACTGGGATCAGTATGGGCAGTACTGGAGGGACAGGAAGCAGGGTTGGGTGAGTGCTGCTCACTCTAGGAGGACTCTAGGATAAGTACAGGTGTCATGGGTACCCCCTGCTGGGTGGGTACAGGGGCCGCTGGGAGCGATGGAGCAGGGTGGGCACTGCGGTCACTGGGAGCGGTGGGAACACACTGGGCACACTGGGATAGGGCGGCGGCCGAGNAGCTGGCCCACGGCAGCCCCACGGCCCGCATCGAGGGCTTCACCAACGTCAAGGAGCTCTACGCCAAAATCGCCGAGGTCTTCGACATCTCGCCCACCGAGGTGAGGGGCTGCGGCCTGGGGCGGGGTCACCCACCCTGAGGCACTGTCTGTGGCCTGTGCTCCCCCAAGTCCCCAGATGCTTGCAAATGTAGTCCCCGAAATTTTCTGCAGGGGTGTTATGGCCTCAGGGTTGTTTTGGCTCCTCTGGGGAGGGCTTGGGGCTCTGTGCTTCAGTTTACGCTCTGTATGTGGGCAGGGAGCAGTGGCTGCCAGATTCCAGCTGGCTGGGGCTGGGGGAAGGTGCGCAGGGATGGGGCAGTGCAGGGTCCCCGGCAGGCTGGGGGTCCCTGGGCCTCTCTGTTCTAGTGGTGCCCGGATCTGACTGAGTCCCCCTGAGCTGGCCGTGCCTCCCCTGTCAGCTCTTGCCCTACTGGGGCATCCCCAGTCCCTGCTGATGGGGTTCCCTGGGGCAGATCCTCTTCTGCACGCTCAACACGCACAAAGTGGACATGCAGAAGCTGCTGGGGGGACAGATTGGCCTGGAGGATTTCATCTTTGCCCATGTCCGGGGCGAGACCAAGGAGGTGGAGGTGACCAAGACAGAGGACGCGCTGGGCCTCACCATCACAGACAACGGGGCCGGCTACGCCTTCATCAAGGTGAACCCCTGGGGCAGCCCTGGGGACTGTGGCCCTGCAGGTGACATCCCCTGCACGTCCTCTCCCTGGGACCAGGCTCCTCCCTGACTCCTCACACCACTCCTTCCCTGGGTCTGTCCTGGCCCTGGGGATCTCCCCTGGCCTGGGGACGTTTGGGAGGGCTTCCCTGCCTGACCTGGCTGCCAAAGGCCGTGGGACCCCCGAGGTGGTTGTGTGTGGGTCGGGATGGGGGCTGTGTCTGGCTGTCCCATTGTGCCGCGTGTCCCTGTGCCACCGTGGTCCCCAGAGGATCAAGGAGGGGAGCATCATCAACCGGCTGCAGACAGTGTGTGTGGGGGACAGCATCGAGGCCATCAACGACCACACCATCGTGGGCTGCCGGCACTACGAGGTGGCCCGGATGCTGCGGGAGCTGCCGCGGGCCCAGCCCTTCACCCTCCGCCTGGTCCAGCCGAAAAAGGCCTTCGGTGAGTAGGGGAGGTTCCCCTGCTCTTGCCCTGGGGACCTTGGGATCGTCCTCAGGCCCCTGTGGCCCTGGAGCCCCTCCCCAGGGACCGAGTGCCTCCCAGGGTTCACTGCCCCCTCTGTGTTTGTACCCCACAGCCCTGGGGCACTCACATGGGGGTCCTCACACCTGCTCGTGCCCCCACGGGCACCCCCTTGCTCTGTGTTGTCCTGAGCATCGTGAGCACCCCAAAACCACGAGCATCCCCCCGCTGCACCCCTGGGTGTTCCTGACACCCCCCTGTCCCACACACG